TGCTGTGATTGGACCACTACCCCTATATAAGCTTGTGCCTTCCTGCAATAAAGCAAACCTGTGTCACTGAACCTGGTCTCCTGTGTCTGAATGGTGTTCCGCTGACATAGTCTTCTCACCAGCCCTGCACTCTGGAACTGGGCAGAAGAGGCCACGACAGGAGGCAGAACAGGGCAAGCAGAAGAGCTGCCTCAGCACCAGGTGAGCAGAAGAGTGGCCTCAGCCCAGGGTGAGTGGAGGAGCAGCCTTGACCCCCATGAGAACAAAGGAGCGGCACCCACAAGAATGGAGGAGTGGCAGTAGCTGGCAATAACTGTGGGGAGCTGCCTGCCGTCCCTGCAGACGCCATTACAAGATGGCGCTCACATCCGGTTCATGCTGAGCAGTAAATAAGTCAGTACGCATGCCCGAAGTAATTTTCCACCTTCTAGTCTCTGCCTACCTTGTGGCGTGATATGGGCTGATGAGTTTGTGACCAATCAAGAGTTGCCACGTCCAAGACGGGCTTACTAACCTATATAAGGGCTGGGTTTCTGACATTCGGGGTCTTCGCCCTGTAAGCTTATGCTCTCCCTCTCAAGATGCATTAAAGCTTTCCTGCAGAAGGATCCTGAGTGTGCCGCGTCGTTCTTGCTGGCGAGACGATAGCGCGGGACAGGTTTTCAGTCACTTTTATTCAGCCCATTGAATGGATAATGACAGTGAATCTATTTCAATACCATAGTCAAATATTTTAAACCTTGGAGCCATAAGTTTTCCCTTTTCCTCCACTTGAATCTATAATTTGATTACATTGCTACCAGTTGGAAAATTCACCAATCTAGTTCAGACATTTGAGTGTCTTGTGAAAGAGCCTTTCATAGTTAGAATTGTATGCATGATTGAGAATCAGGATGAAGCAAGGCCTGATACAATAGTTCCTGGTTGGGGAGGAACAGGAACATGAATAGCAGGTCTAAAGCCACTGGCTACTTCTTAATCCATCCAGATGCTTCTATCTTGCCAAGGTCAGAGCTCCAATTCATCTCAGGGATTAGAGCTCCAAAGATCATATTTATTAATGCTTCGATTGCCTTCCCTCTCTAGGGTCTGTTTTAACTGCCCCGTGAAAGCAGAACACTGAAGATGTGGCAGAGTTATAAAATTTAAATAAGAATGACCAATCAAGACTGTGTTATAGGGTTGAGGAAGAAAGGATATATGCATAGAAATGAAAAAAAATGGGAATATCTGGAGAAAGAAATGAACAGTAGCTACATGCTGAATAGAAATCTGTTGGTGAAATTTGCAGAGAAATGATAAAGCATGTTTCAGTTTGGCTTCTCAGCAATTGAGCTCTTAAATTTTCCCACTTCAGAGACGAGTGGATTGATGAGTTCTGCTGCCCTGGCAGTTCATTCGTTCTCTTTTATGATCTCTGGCCGTTCTGAGTCAAGTGAGTTGTAACAACACTCCGAAGCTAGCTAGAAGACCACGTGGTTCTTCACAGATATGGACAAAATGAGATACTGAGAATGGGAAGATACATCTTCATTTTAGCATGGCTTTGTATAACAAGGGATGGGCCCCCTGGGAATGGCAGTAGGCCATTAATCTAAGGCTACTTCCAAGGCTTAGTTCACAGTGCAGTGGTTGTTTGTCATCTGGCAGAGCAGAATGTACTTTCAGAACTTGTTTCTGTGCTTTGGTGATGATCTCTCATCTTTGGGATCACAGTCCAGTTATCCAGACTTAGGGAAGGAGAAATCAGAAAGTTGTTCGTCTCTGCATCTTCCTGATCATCAAGTGTGAACATGAGAGGCCTGTATCCTATCCTAAGCCCCATTTACACATAACAGATGGCAATTGTATTTTCATAGAATCAGAGAATAGCTTTAGGTTTGGGTCCTAGAGATTGAACTAAAGGCCTTGTGTATGCTAAGCATGTACTTTTAGCACTAGCCAGTGAAAGTCATTTTAAAGTCATATATCTCATTCAAATCTTTCCATGTACACATGTGAAAACTAAGGGTCACAAAGATCAAATAAACTTACCAACTTAACAAGTTAACATATAACCATAGCATATGCCATTTGGCCTAGGATCCAGTGCTCATTGCAATACACCTACTTGGCTTGGCTCAACATCTGCTGTACATGTAAAGATCAATTCTCAGTGCGACAAGTAGTCCAGAATGTGAGCTTTAGAAAGTGACTTGTGCTGAAGGGATATCAAACCAATTTGACATCACTGTGATTAAAACTGATACTTAGTGGATGTTAAATCACAAAAGGGTTCATCCATAGACCTAGTCCTCTTTCGGAGAATAATCATCCCACTATGGTGAAAGTAAGTACGTCCCTAAGAATTTACTACCATTAAGAGAGCTAGAAAAGATCATTTACTAACTCGTTCTTTAACACTTGCCACCAAGAATTCATTGCTTTAATTCTGAGGGGTGGTTTAATTCAGGGGAGTGATTTAATACGGAGGAGTGGTTTGGTTCTGGAGAGTGGTTTAGTGCAGGGGAGTGGTTTGGTCAGGGGACTTTGTAGGGAACTAACTGGCTTGAATCATTTACCTTCTTTCCTACTTTACCACAGTTTTCTGGGATTTACTTTATTCTTTAAATTAAGACCTGTTATTTAAAAGTAATATGAATTCTTAATTTAAACCGTCTATAAGATGCCAAAAATTTATAATGAGAAGAAAAATATCCACTTCAATTTTTATCCTTAGCCTTCCACAGAAAACTCTTTAGCAAGCAAGCGTATATTTCCTATACTATGTTTATTATATAATACTATTTAGATGCTCATTTTACATACATGGCAGTATATTATTCCACTATGTTGTACCCTTGTACTTTTCATTTACTGTTTCTTGAAGACTGTTGCCTATCACTACATATATAAAGCAAATAAATATATATTAATCATTTTTTAAAATCAGCTTTACATTTAAAAAATTGATGAGATATATTTTGATTTATGCTGTTTTTCCAGTACCTGTCATGTGGCCAGATCCGAAGAGATGAGTTTAATACAGGTCATTAAAAACTGCCCTGGTGAAGTCTGTTGTTTCTAAAGCAAGCATCCAGGAGCCCTCTCCACTTCACGAGCTTCCTGGGTGAGAATTCTGTGAAGAAATTACTGTCAAATTCTGACTCACAGATGACCATCACAGTCCAGCTTAAGTAGAGGACTGAAGGGGTCCTGAGCGAGCAGAATGACTTGCCAGTGTCTGCTTGGCTGCTCGGTGAACACTGCTACGCTGAGATTTCTCCCAGTGAGGTTTTGCTGGCAGGCTGAGCTCCAGGCTACTCGGTCGAATGTCTCAGGAGCCAAGAAACTGTGCTTCCAAGCCAAGGGAAACAGTACTTCAGACTCATGGCATGATGGGGGACTATCTGACCTTTCTGAGTTCAGGAACAGGCTCTTGTACACCCCTTACTTACTAGTACTTCCTTTCCTGTTAAACATTGGCGGAGGATGGAGGGACACTAGAAATCTGGTTTATTCACTAGTACATGGCAACTACCTGCGTGAAATGCTGGTCAGCCTCATTTTGGTATGGTAAGAAAGGCAGTGCCCCATTCCCTATCTGGGAAGGAAGCCGAAGGAAGCCAGAGTTAAAATCAGACATCTCAAGTCTCAGCAGCCTTCTTGGTCTGTGCTTAGACAAATAATCTCCAGGCGACCCAGATCCCCTGTTCATTGTGAAAACAGACAGTGCCAGAGGGAAACAGAATTAAATTGTTTCTCTTTCATGGCAGCTGAAGTGTAAAAACCATTCTGTTCCGACCTTGTGGTCAGAATATCCTGACACCTCATAAATTATCCTAAGGGCTCCAGGCCCAGGAGGCTGAGGAAGGCCGAAGGCCACACAACAGCCAGTGGTCTCTCCAGCACAACGCCTTCCTCGCTGTCCCTTGGAGGACAGGCAGGCACCACTGTGTAGGATGTGGAGGAAGGGGTCTTCCTTTTCGTCCCATTTTCTGAATCAAGACAAGGATGAGAGAAGCATGAATGAGAGAAAGAAATGGTCTCCATCCTGATCCCTGTTCGCTCCCACTCCCTCTCTGACACACACACACACACACACACACACACACACGTACATCACACATCTGGTTATAAGGAAACAAAGGAGCTTCCTTAGCAGAAGGAACTCTTGAACCGCTCTGCCCCCTGGTGAGTTTCCTTTTGCCCCTGCATTCATCTGTGCCTTACACACAGTAGGTGCTCTATAAATGTTTGCGTAGTGGTAAGATCCTTAGATAGGTCCCCAGGGAGGGACATAGATTTATTTAGGGGAAATTCCAAGTATGCAAAGAAAAGTCATTTGGAGCAAACAGTGTTCCCATAGCCTGAGTCACCGTAAGATTGAAAGGATCTGAGAATTTGTGGGTGTGTCTGGACATATTGAGTGTGGGAATGTGGGTGGGTGGTCTGGACGGGTGGGTAATAAGTGACAGGAGGGCCCTTGAAAATATAAAGGGCTGCATAACTACTGTAAAAATAAAACTGGGAACAGCATGCCCAGACCTCCAGCCACGTGGTGACCAAACCTGACCTTGGCAGAGATGAATAATACTGTGGAGATGGATTCAAGAATTATTAGTCAATGTTTTTGGTCCCCATGGATCTTTCTTTCTTTCTTTCTTTCTTTCTTTCTTTCTTTCTTTCTTTCTTTCTTTCTTTCTTTCTTTCTTTCTTTCTTTCTCTTTCTCTCTTTTTCTTTCCTTCCTTCCTTCTTTCCTTCCTTCTTTCTTTCCTTCTTTTTCTTTCTATCTCTTTTTCTAAAAGAATTGCTGGGTGAGTTTCTGGCCAGGCAAATCATTACAGCAGACTGTAGCATTCCAGAGTCCTCCCAAGCTCTTTCTAGACTCTTCTTTATTAATGTTTTATGTTTTTCTCTTTTTCTTCTTTAATGGAATGTGTCTTCTGGGTCCCCCTTTTAACAAAAGATAAAATTTCTTATTTTCCTCTGGTTAATTTCCCTCCCTCTTGGAAATGATATCTTGAGTCTTCTCATAAATTGCTGACTCTCCTGATTCTCTGACCTTGAAGAAACAGAAGATACCAAGAAGCATGGAGCTAAAACCTGTCCATACCAAGCTCCAGAACAGATCACAGAATGCTATTTTCTACAGCTGTCCCAATACATAAGTGTATATGTTGGAATGTTCACTGTGTAATGATGAAGGGAGGCAGGGCAAAAAAGTATTTATAGACTGTAGAGGGAAACCCTATACTATCCATACCACAACTGTAGATACCTGACAAATTCAAGTTGTTCTATAACTCCATATATCTGTCGTCATAGTCTACTAAGCTCCCTGATATGAAATTTAATTCTTTTACTAGGAGAGTAGCTGATGACACATACAAAAATCTTGCAGTTATTTTGGGTACTTGATGATAAGTCTTGGATGATGGAGATTGCATGCTATAGGTTTAGGTATAAAGTATCATGAAACAAAGAAACTGCCTGAAAGTGCAGTAATTACAGTACAGAAAACTGCATCTCTATTTCCTTTACCCATCTTTTGGAGATTTATCTAGCTATTCCCCAACTAATCAGTTTAATTCCTGATTCCATAGTCTCTCTTGTAATTGCCGTGCACATCTGTATGTATTTAAGGTGATTTTATGTATTTTATTTCTTTCCCATTAGACCTTAATCTTCTCGAAGATAGGATTAAGTGTAATCGTTATTCTGGATCTTCCAAGTACCTGGGATTGTTTTGTGACTCCTGTGTGTAGTCATGGATGAAAGGCACATTTTAATCTCTGAGGAGTATTTTAATGCTGGGTTGGTTTGCTTTACTAACTTCTTCTTCCATCTCTTTTCCAGTCAGTAGATGTTTATGAAATGCTGAGTGAGGTCAGCCATAGGATGAGACATTAGGAACAAAATGTACTCCTGAAATTATATAGAATCCTTCAAAGCCAAGAGTAAATTACTTATGGATTTTCCATGGCTTTGTAGGTAGCAGGATGGCATTTAAATTATAGGCATAAATGTCTGATTATAAGTTTACTCATCTTTTAATCAAACATGAACTTCCTATTTCATTGTTAAATGTTTTAGAAGCATGTTTCTCTTGAGGTATGCATTTAAATTCTCCCTGAGGCAATTATTTTGTTGAATTCTTCTCTTGGATTTTGAGTCTCCTCCCCAAAGCCCAGGGTGTTTCACATGGACAATCAAACTAAATGAACTTGACCTATTTCTAAACAATGTTCCATGTCTTTTGATTTTATTAACAAAATCACTGACTTATTCCAGCCTTAAACTTTGTTTTTATTTATTTATTTTTATGTGTATGAGTGTTTCGCCTGCATGTAGTTTCTGCCACATGCCTGTAGTGTCTGTGGAGGCCAGAAGAGGGCATCGGATCCCCTAGAACTGGCATTATGGATGGTTGTTAGCTACTATGTGGGTGCTGGGAACTGAACCTGGGTTCTCTAAAAGAGGAACAAAGGCTCTTATCTGCTGAGCCATCTGTCCAGTCCCTTATTCCAGTCTTTAGGTCATAGGAAATTATTGTCCTAGTTCATTACTTCAGTCTTCTCCCTGGAGAGGCTTACTGAGCTGTAGACTAATTCACATTTCAGCTCTTTTTCTTCCACTCTGCTATTTGAATAGCAAGGGTGCAATGCATGTCTATGGGTTTCTGAATCCTGGATGCCCTGCATGCCCTACTTGGCATTCTGTTGGCCTGCCACTCCATGTTCTTCTTCTACTTCTCTACTCATCCTATCCCACCCTGAGCTTAGTGCTCCCAAGATCTGCCTTTTATTTAGCTGGGAAGAACTACTGAATGACTTTAAAATGAACTGTCAATCAATGGGAAAGGGTACGTTTTGAAGGTATGTGGTCCTCTGATTGCCACATGGAACATAAGCTATTTCTCTGAGTGTTCCAAATGTATTCACCCACCCATTAGCCTGGGGGAGATTATAATTGTTTCATAAAGAATTTAGCAAGAAAGAAAATAGGATCTGACATACAAATTAGACTTTGAACAAAATAATGAACTTGAGAGCCAACCAGGCATTGTGGGAAAGGTTTTCTTCATGGCTCCCTTTACATGTGGATGGCTAAGCTGGAAGGGTTTTAAGAATACTCCTTCAGTTTAGGAAAAAACACTCTTCTCCAGGCCAGCTCCCTGATAGCAGATGGTAAAAGAATAAGATGGAAGGGTGACAGAAAGAGGGAAGCTGACTCCTCTTTTAGCTAAAGAGGCTGTGAGATTGTGGGGAAGGGAGGGAGAAAGGAAGGCAGGAAGGGAGGGAGGGGAGAGAAGGAGGGAGGGAGGGGGAGAGAAAGAGACACTTGTTATAGTGAAAAATCAGATATTCTCTCTCCATTTGCTATTAGGTAAACAGTAAATTCTAAGAAGAAACAGTTTGGGACTGGGAAGGAGGCTGCATTGTACTATTAGATTTAAGGTTGTCACAATCGCATCAACTAGAAAATGCATTGAGCACAGGCAGAGTCATCTGTGAGGTCCATCTTTTCTCGAGCTATCTAAAGACTTCTTTGGAATCTGTCCATGTTTTTGGCATCATGTGTATAGACTGCAGAAAGAGCTACAAGTTCATGGCTAGGAAACTTGGCAGAGAAGGGTCACTGTATTGAGAAGCAAAATGGTTCTATAGCAGGAATTGTAAGAAACCCCGTTCAACCAGGGCTTAATGATAGTCCCTGCCAGATCTCAGAGGGGCTCTAACACCAGTAGGAGTAGTAAGGCAGAGTCAGCCAAAGGTCACTACGGAGCCCTGCTAAGTCAAGCTAAGGCCTGCTAGATGGAGAGTTACGCTGACTACAGATGTCAGCTGGGGATCGCAATGGAGAAAGCAGCACCTAATGTGGACAAGGATCGTTTCCTTAAGAAAGAGGGAGGAGACCCTGTTTCTGAAAAACCTGACTCTTCCTTTATGAAACCTGAGGTCCCTCAAGTCCTAAAATTCCTCCTTGTCATCCTCCTCTTCCTTCTCCTTCATTTATAGATATAGTCTTTGAGCAGAGGGAAAGGTTTTCCACAAATTGGGAGTTTTAACAGAAAATATGACAAATACTTCTTGAATACATGTTGCATTGAGCTGTCAAACTGGATTTTTATAATTCTACTAGAGTTTTAGCAAATTTTTCTCACCTAATTAGAAGCCAGATTAGTCACTGATGAATACTGATGTTCAGATTTTTCTGCTCTTCTCACCTGCAGTACAGGAGTT